ACTTGGGAAGAAAGTAACTTTTCCAGGAGTGTATCTGTGGGCATCATGCTCCTGCCATGAGAAGCTTTTTACCTGTGGAGAGCAAAATTGACTGAGGTCGCATGTTCCTTGTCAATTTCATTCACAGTAGGTGCTTTAAAACAGCAAAGAACCTCAGTTCAGAAACAGTACTACCAACTTAGAGAGTAAACGTGAAAGCAAGAAGATGGCTAAAATGGGAGAAAAGAAAAACAAGGCAGAATAAAACCTACTGCTCTTTAAAAGAATAGATTCAACCATTTTTTTAAAAATGGACGAAAGAGTTAAATCTAAGACCAATTTTTATCTTCAGTTTGGTAACTCACATTACTTCTGCACTGATTACACTCCCTACCCAAGTTTAATTTACTGTTTGTTACACTCAAATTGTGACTCTGGCAATTTTGTCTCATGGTGAGTTTTGGAATTTGTTACATAATTCTTAAATGGGAACCAGCCAGGCTTAGTTGGAGAACCACTGTATTAAAGCAATGGATAAGTACAAGTATAGTTAAGCACAAAGTGTTTTCATTATAAAACCTTAATTTCAGAGTTTTTCTTTCCCTCTTTCTAAAAACTTCCACAAATTGGGAAAAGTAACTTAATGTAAGAGCCCCCAACATGAAAATAACTGCAACAATATAGAAAGGAAATGATCTCATTTTTATAAGTAGTTCCAAAGGCTAAGGATGGCCTCATGGTATTTGGATATATTTATCACTCTCCTTCCCTCAATCTGAAACTAAAAAAAAACAACAAAGAAAGAATAATCTAGTGCTTTCATATACAGCACACACTCAATAAACTTACTGAATACTTGTTAGGTTGCAAGTGAATAAACATGGACCTTTATTAACATCTATGTCTAGTCCACTCATGAAAAATTTAAAGATAGTGGTGCAGATGCAGACATACCCATTAGAAACTGGGCTCAGTTCACCTATCTTGTCACTTTTACCTTCTACCAGTGAAGAAAAATTCTATTTAACACCATGAAGGTAAAACTGTTTATGTATTATTCTCAGGCAATCATTATAAAATATTATCGTGATACAGATATACCAAAAAATAAGTTAACTAAACCATGCTATCCTTTAATGAAGTGATTTTCAAACTACAGGTCTAAACCAATAATAATCCTGGTCAACATTTTAAAAAATGAAATACAGTAAGAGAAAGGAAGGTGTCATTTCATAAAATTCTTGTTTCAGTTATATATCTGTATCAATGCACTGTATTATAGTATTAATTGAATTTCTTAACATACTATCATAAAAGCATGAAAGTGCTGCTACATGGTAGTATGAGAGACAGCACACCTTGGAATCAATCAGACTTGGTTCAGAATCTTAGCTACTAGCTATATGACCTTTGATAAATAATCTTGTTCAGATTTGGCTTCTTCATGTGTAAACAGAACTAATATACTTAACATTCAGGGTTTTGGTGAGAGAATTAGAGGTAAAGTGTTTCACACTCTACCTGATATGTAGTAGGCTATCTTGCTGCTAACATTTTCAGTTATCAATTTAAACATGAGGTGTGAAGAACTGTTACAAAGGAATGGCTAAAATAATATATCTGAAAGATGCTAACAGGTTCAATTTTGTTCAAAGCATTCAGAGGGATACATAGAACACAAAATAACAGCATGTTTCCATCTATATGGTATGTCATCATAGAATTCAAAAAGTCTATAAAGGAAAATCTATAATGGTTTCATTTATGTATCTAAGAACAAATAATGATTAAGATATAATTAAAATCAAGAACTGAGACTAATCATACTTTTTTACCCAATTTCATTAAAAATTATACTGTAGCATTAACACTGGAAAATAACCCATTTTCTCAATAGTTACTTCCAGAGTAAACACATGAAAATAAACATCCCAAGTAAACAAAATCATTCTCCTGAGGAGGTAAAAGCAATTCATTCCTTCACCAAGTATTTATTGAGTACTTACTATAGGCCAGGAACTACTCAGACTAGACATTACAGCAATGAAGAAACAACAGTCCTTATTCTCAGGAAAAATTTGGCAAAGAAGCTGAAGTATGATGATGCTAGCAGCCTTGCCCAGATAATTTCAAACTGAAAAGAATAAAGTTTACCTTGTGCTTCTGGGTCATCAGCTTATCTAACAAATCATGATTGTTCTAATTTTCTAATTGCTTACAAAATAAAAATGGAAAAAAGAATTTTTTGAAAAACACCAGTCTTATATTATGTAGCTGTATATTCAAATTAGTTCAAAGGCAGTAAGTTACATGTTCACATTTTAAAATTTATATGCATCTCAAAAATAAGCAATTAAAAATGCAAATTTCAAGTAGGATATAAAACCATATGTGAATATATGTGTACAGAATTTCTGAAAAAATGTATCATAGAAAACTGAAAACAAAATATTAACAATGGCTATTACACAGTGGCATCATAGATATTTCCTCTTTATATCCTTTCTGTATTTTCTATTCTCTGTGATATACAAATATAATAACTAAAAAAAATGATTTAAAAAAATCGAAGTCTTCATTTAAACTGATTATAGATATATTACAATAGGCATTACCTACCCAAAATAGCTTTAGAACACTTAACATTTCAAACAATCCAAAATGCATATTGTAAGTATGATGGTATAACTAAAAATAAATCTCCAGATTATTAGATGAAAAAAAAAGCCTAATTTATTTTTTAAATGAGTCATTATACCTCATTTTGACAATTTTACTCACTTTCTGAGTTAACTTATCTAATAATATAGCTCCAAAAAGACAGACATTGTAATACTTGAATATACTAGTTAATAAAATAATATTTCCTGGAAATGATAGAGTCCTGCAATATTAGTATTCTTCATACTGATAGTTTAACACTTTATCTTTTCTTTTTAAGCTGCTTATATCTCAAACAAGTTTACCATTGTGGGTTTTTTCTTTTTCTGGTAAGATAAGGATTTTGTACCTGTAAAAGCTATCTTACCAATCAATGGAGGAGCAGGAATGAAAAAAATGTATCCATAGAAATGAACATTTACATGATCAAGTAAAAAAGTACTTGGATAAAAATGTTATCTTGATTTCCTCAAATTTTTAAAATGTAATTGTATGTATGATAATGTTGAGAAGATGAAAAGTGAAAAAAAAAATTTAAGGTACTTATTTCATTTCCCTCAGTGGGCAGAAAAAGAATTGTTAAAAGTGCATGTGATGATCTAGTCAAAAATAAAGTTATAATATTAATTTTCTTTTGAAGTATATATAAACATAAAAATTTAAAGATTTTCTTTGGTAATAGCCAGGGATTTCAAGGATTTCTTCCTCTTATACTTATCTGTTTTCTGGGCTTTCTGCAATGAATATTAATTACTTTTGTTTCTCCTTAATGGAGAAACATGGTAATTTAACTGAAATTTTAAAAATAAATTAATTTAAACATTTGATAAATAGTTTTTATGTTTGCTATTCTATGATGAAATAGGAATAAATTTTCCTGGTCAAGGAGAAAAAAAATGTTCCTATGTACAGACTGCTAAAAGGATAACTTGGGCCGGCCGAGTGGCGCGATGGTTAAGAACTGGCTTGGGATGCCAGAGGGCCCCGGTTCGGATCCCACATATGAGGGCCAGTGACGCTGCCCTCTGCAGCTAAGATGGTGAATGGCAACTCGACCTGGGGCTGGGCTGCCGTGGGTCACCAGCGACGGCGTAGGCTGCAGTCCCCTACTGCAGTGGGCTGCCATAAGCTACTGTGTGTAGCCGTGAGCTACAGCTGCCGTGAGCAGCCATCCAGAGGCTGGCGACTGATCTGCCTCGCCCAGGAAGAGCGCAATGATGGTGCCAGCTTGGGCCAGTGAAGCAACATCCTCCACAACTAGACTGACAAACAAAACAACAGCAACTTGTCTGTTCCCCTTCCCCCGATTCCCCAGCGCTTTTCCCCTCCCCCAATTCCCCAATAAAATCTTAAAAAAAAAATAAAATAAAAGGATAACTTATGAGACCAAAATTCCAATATAGCAACAACTGTAAAATCCATAACTTATTTAATGGTAAACCTTGACATAATCAGAGGTAAAGCGATTATAATCATTATTTATCTCACTCTGTTTGAATCAACTTTTGCTGCCAAAAGATTACTATTAATACCTAAGATGCTAATGGAGTGTTTACATATGGTAAATATACTTTACTTTTCTGAAATCTAAAAAATTCTAATTTCAAATACATAGATAGCTCCAAAGGTTTCAGATAAGAAACTGTGGATCTGTATTAGAGGTCTTATATAAGCCTCTTATATGTATAAGAAATTTTTTAGCCTCACTGGAAAAAACAAGAACCATCTTAACTTTAGCTATCTAATGAAACCTAAAAAATTAGTCCCCAATATAAAAATGGTAACTCCTTCTGGTTTAAGAATCAAAGGACCCATATTCAATATAATGTGTGTGTATATTTCCATTACACACAAATTAAAGGCTGCCATATAATCAACATAGCCCTTAGATCAGAAAAGAGAAAGTTTAAGAATTAGATCTAGATTTGTGCATTAATATGGATAGTAATTACAACATATAAGAATACAGTATGCTCTAAAAAAATAATTTACATGATTTCATTCACTGTGGATACATGCTCTTTTAGGGAAGAATTATAATCAATGACACAGAACTAGAATATTCCTAAGCTTTTCTGCTTCTAAAACTGGACAAAATAAAGACTAAATGACTTAAATTTATGTCAAGAAAATTAATAATCATATATATAGCTTGTACTTTATTAATGTTTAAAAGAAAGAGTTTTAAAACTCTGAAAAACAAATACATAAATACACAAACACTAAAGCATTAGTTTTATGATGTTTCCCTAAGAAAATATGCCAAAAAACAGAAAGAAAAATGTGGAAAAATAAAAAAAAAAGAATCCATTTATTAAACATGGAGACTTAATGACAATCATTTTAAGGATAATATTCACCTTCTTTGGGTTGAGCCATAACTGGAGTCTGAGTTTCCTTTGTATATGTCACGATTTCTCGAGGAGGAAAGTCAACTTGTGTAATTTTTGCCATTCCAAGTTTAATAGGTCCTCGTCTAAATAAAGTGAACACAAATGTTTTTAAATACAACAAATGATACATTTAACTACATCAAACCATGTTATTTTGGAAAAGAATTAAACATTGTGTATTCAACATTGTAATTTAAATCCATTTTACTCAAGATATTTATATGAACAATGAATTGGCTTTATCTTAACAAAAGAATTAGAAGGTAGCAAAACCAAAAGATATTTCTGAATCATTCAAGGTGTTTATTTTTCACTTTAAAAGGCAAACAATTTAGTTTCTTAGAGCAAATGTGTGGGTAAAATAGAGTAAGAGGATAGGAATTCCAAAGTGGTGTGCTGAATATGGTTGGTTATGAGAATGTGGTTGGTTTTAGCAGGGATGTGATTCTGGACTTTTCTGAAGAGTCAGATAACATGGATCTCACTCAGACCCCTTCACCATTAGGAGACTTCAGCTTTGATGCTGAAAAATGAGTTTCTATGGAAAACCTTTTTTTTCTACGTATATTTTACAGAAATTGAGAATCATACACTTTAGATTTCAAAATGAAATATTTAAATTTAAATCGCTAATCTCTGCACAGTCCACATTGTCCTCAATTCATGTATGAACAAACTACAGTGCAGATATTTTATACCTAAACTAAAACAACAGATCTTTTGAGTAACATAAAACTACTAAAGTTACTTTTACCTTAAATAGAGGGGAAACATTCTTTTTTTAGTAAACAGAAGAAGAGAGTTGTGGCTGAGGAAAATGGACCAAAGGAAAACTATCTTTTATTAGACATCTGGGGGATCTTGTCTTGGTTATCATACTAGATATTTAAATTCTAAACCAAATCAAGTATGCATCCAAACTCCCAAAGAAGCTCTCAATTATGGAGCTGTCTTAAAAGAATATCTAATAAAGACATTGCTATAACTTCCAGAATATCAAATAGGCTATCTGAAATTTACATACATATCATTGGTAATATAATAATTTTTTTCTTATATAAACATCCTTTTCAAAATGCTGTACAAAAAAAGGATAATAAAATTAGTACATTTGAAAAACTGAATTTCTCTGAAGGTCCTAAATGTGGGCCATAAGAAATTTTTAATGTGTTTTCTACTTTAGGAACATCTTAGCCTTAAAGAAAGAAAATAAAACCATAATAAAAGAATTAAGTGGAAAAATTTAAGTACATTTTAAATAATCTAGTATTCTAAGAATAAAATTTGAAATAAGAAACTAAATTAGATTCTGATTTTTAAGATGTAAACCATATGAAAAATAAATCACTCACATGTCTAGGAAAAATGGTCATGCGAACAATATTAAGAACAAGTTACTAACCTGGATACATATAGGGTTTAATAGGTAAAAAAAATCACAATATTAGAACAAAATAGTCTAAGATTTAAAGGTAGAAGGGTAGGGAGGTAATACCTCACTTATCCAAAAGCTACTTTAACTGAGAATAGGAAACTAGGGATGGGGAGCCTCAGGGCAGCCAATAGAGAGGCTCTTCAGTTAATGTGCAAGAAGCTCACGTACTTTTCTTATTTGCCCTAATTCAAGGCCTATTTCCTCTTCCTTTAGACATAATTCCAAAGGTATTGGTCCTATGTTTTAGAAGCTGCTAATTATCAAGGGAAAATAGCTACCTCAGTGAGGCACAATGGCAGCTGCAAAGATATTTTGCATTGAAGACTAGAATAAATAAATGAGTGAATTACTGAATAAATGTATAAATCAACAGCAATTTGGGGCCATAGTGTAGAGACCAACAGCTCTGTTCCTCTCAAAACCCTAGAAATCATGAGTGAATTTTAATATAGGAAAATTAATATTCATATTGAGTCATCCAGAAAAGGTTCAATTACATGTAGAATATGTATTTTTAAAAGTCTGGGAAATTTGTAATATGTCTTAGAAAAACTTAACATCAAAAATACAGAAATAATAAGAGGAATTTGGACACTTAAATGGGTAGACTTAAGGTACCTAGAAAATCAGGTACATAGACTATTTCTTTCAAATTTTAGATAGAGGATAAATGAGGTGTCACAGTAAAATATAACTCTTTTCCTAACTATATACTGCATATCAGAAATTTAAGCAAAATAAAATTAGGACAGTTTCACAAAGAATCAAATGAGTTATAAAAGAGGGAAGGTAATAAATCTATTCAATACCCCAAATCGGAATCTGAGTGAAGCTGAAGAACTGATGGATCTGTATCCCAATGCAGCGTCCTAAATGGTTGTAGAACAACCATGAAGCATTAGCAGAAAAGGCCATAAGTTAGTCAAGCAAATACACTCTGTGAATCGCTAAAGTACTGTTCACAATTAAAAACCACATGTTCTAGTTAGTACCAAAAAACACCAGGTATTACTCAATGCTCTAGTGCATGCAATAAGCATAATATGGTTAAAGATGCAAACATACAACCCAGAGTAGTTAAAAGACAGTATTTTCAGATTATGGGAAACTAATAATTGCACAATAATGGATAAGAACAGCCAAGCATACAACAACACAAATAATACATTATTTTTGGATGATAAGCTAGGCTATAAAAATAGTTCAAAATTTAAGTTTCCTAATGAAGAAAACAGTAAAAACATCTTAGTTAACATATTATAATCTTGCCCAAAGCATTAAATGTGTGCAGGAAATTGTCATATTGCTAAAGGAAATGAGTCAACACATAAGACTTTCGGTAAGAAAGCCAAACACTATTCCACTGGGATACAAAATAGCTGAAGTTTCCAAAATGTGACCCTTACATAATTTACGGGTTAAGCACTGCCTTGGGCTTATATGTCATCTGCTTTAGAAAGCAGTTGAAGATTTCTGTCTCTAGGAAAAAATAGATTTTTCCCAGAAAAA